TAAACAGATTTCATCAACACAAATGTGTACATTTGCGGTTCTCTGCTGTCTGCAGTAAACTGGTTTCTATAGCTGAAACATACCAGCCTAAAAATATAGCACTTCCACTGCTTTCAACATTAATTCAGGTCCTACTTTGAATAAGAATTAGAGGATAACGAGAGATGCCAGTCTGTTTTGTTCTTCACATAGTTAGCAACAGCAATGGTTAACACTTCCTTTCAGAGAAAATGTTCATGTTTCTTTCTGGAGGTCTTTCACCTAGTAGCATACCTTTGAGAAGTCAAGACCTACCTAAGACAAGGAACCCAGGGCAGAACTCAGATGCAAAAAGTCAGTATTTAGGAGGCAGAAGATGATACAGGCTACCAAGGAGGCATTTAGAAATCATCACATATACAAGTAGGTGGGTTGTTAGAAAAGCCAAACTTCACCTACAAGTAGTAGCTGGAAGGGACACCAAGTCCAGCAAGAAAAGCTTCCACCACTACACTGGCAGTGGAAGCAATCTGTGGACAAACCAGAGAGTGGGAGATGTCATTTACCCCAGCTTCAGCATGGCTTTCCACATTGTCTCCCTCAACATTCTCATAACCAAGTGCACACCTTACAGCCTGGACAGGCAAGGCAGCTAAATGTGTTAAAAAAGAGCCAAACAAACACCATGGTGAGCTCAGAGGGCAAGGGACAATGGGTGCCCCTCCCTATGGGTGAGTCTTTCACTGACCCAGCAGCACCAGCCATGGCATATCTATTGCTGCAGACATACACCTTCTGCTCATACTCAAAAACATTCCTGCTGTTTTATAAACATGTCATGAAGCCTGGCAAGGAGAGGATTAGAAACATGCATCTGGAATTTATCACCTCATTAAAAGCCCCAGTATGACGGTAGCTAACAACTGAAAGAAAAATAAACAACAAAAAAAAAACCACCTATGGGATTGTTCAGTCATACCAGGAAATATACTTCACCCTGCAGTAAGGGGGACAGTCACAATCATTCCAATCAAACTACTACTCATCAGCAAAACATAAGGCAACCTTCCTGCTCCTATTCACACCCAATAAAGAAATAGAAAAACAACTGGAATATCTTAAGTGCTGCTGGCATCTGCCTATAGGGTTTTGCAATCTAATGCATTCTCTATGTAACTATTCACATCATTGCCATCGAAGAGAAGTACCTTGACTGTTTCTTCTGCCAACCATCAGCACATCCAAGATAAGGCTGAGCTGGCTTACTTAAGTGAGAGTGGGATGAGGATACTTGCAGAGCATCAGTCGAGTCTCTTGAGACAGCTTTAAATTCTGAATCACTTTCTGTGCATCCACACAAGAAGACATATGATCTAATTCTTTAAGCAAACTCAGGAACAACTTGGCTCCCTGCTTTTTCAATGACTAATTTCTTTCTCTGCTTTATATTTGCTTACTTATTTTTCTAAGTCATATTAAAATAACATTTTGCTGAAGTAGTAGAAAAGTATCCAACTGATAACAGTCTCTGGTGACTCAGACGACAAGGACACGGAGAAACAGTTGGATGGGCTAGGGAAATAAGTTAAGAGCAGTCTTGGAAATTGTATTAAGGACAGAAGCCCAGCATATGTCTCTCAAATTCTTGGTAAGCTTTCCATGTTCACTTCTGGTCTGAAATAAGCTGTACCTTACTCCCACAGGAGAGGGAAAAGATTTTGGAAAATTATCAATTTCTCAGTCTAGTCTTAAGAAATGGAATTACATTTGGAAGAAACATGCATAAATTAAACTAAAGCTTATTGATTATATATGAGGGATAGTATAATTATTTCAATTGGAAAACATTATTTTTAAAAACACTAATACTATTAAATAATTGGACAGAAAGATGTATCATTAGTTCTGGAACTGTGATCTTCAACCTTTGCCCTAGCTGTTAAGATGGAAAGCATAAAATACAAGTTTTAAGAAAGTCTTGAACAGTATTTCTAACAGTTTTTTATTTTTAAAATTATTATACTGGAAGGCAGATTGAATAAAAAAACTAAAAAAAACTTAAGCTCCAAAAGAGGAACTGTCATATCATTCCAAGTTTTACCCACCCAAATGTAGCTGAATTTCCAGAACACTTCTTTTGGCGCACTGTTCCTCTGGCTTAGCAGACACATTCTTATCTGTCTTTGGATGGCTGAAGTAGAGCCTTTACAGGAAAGATTAACTCAGCTATCTTGCCTTTAAACTTCCGAGAAAAGCAAACCACCACTTTATATGACAGCCCCCTAGATTTCTATTACCCTGGGTAATTTAAAGAGAGGCAGGTGCCTTGTAGGAGGATGTGCCTACCCAGGAGCGATAAGGCGTGCAGCTGGGCCAGTTCAGGGATACCTCGGTCCCAGCATGCCACAGAGCATTTGTGAATAGACACAGTACTTGGCATTTCTGAGCTGACATGCCAACCTTTTCATTATAATACCAACTGTCTCTGTGAGAGATGTGACATAGTGCCAGCATGGGATTGAAATTACAGGAAAATCATTAAAAAGGACTGCATTGCTGGGTTTCCTAAGTCTCCAAAGATAGTCTCAGGACAAAAGGAGAGACTACATATATTACCTGGGGAGAAAAAAGTTTGTTCACAAAATCAGTGATAGAAACAAATGGAATCTACTGTGAACTCCTTTAAATATAAATCTAAACCTATCTGCTTTGTATGAACTGTTGCTACAGAAACGGTAAGATAAAATAAAACCCGTTTCACTACAGCACATGCCAGATCTAGATTCGTACAGAGGAGGCACTCTCAGGACAAAGTTATGTATTATGTCTTCAGATAATTTACCATGTAACCATATGCTGATGGAGACGATGCTATTCATGCCTCCTCCCCCACAATATGCAGAATACTCCCTTTCCTCCCATTTCACCAGTGTTTGCCAAAAACTACACCAAGCTGATTCAACACTGACTTGAATGTGCTAAAATGAACAACTTTCTGTGGGATTAGCAAATTGAATTAATTCAGTGAAGGGTCAAACAAGTGCTGAAGCAATGGGACTTCGTCCTAAGATATTGAGATTGGAGTGGTGCCTCTCCTCTACCATACAGGTGTGAGAAGACAGCACAGGTAGGAAGCAGCTGGGGACCCTAGACAACAGAAACTGAAATTGCAAAGGTAACAAAGCCCAAGCACTGCAGACAGGCACTACCTTCCTATTGCTTTGATGCATTCCCCCTTTAACCCTACTGGGCTCCTGTGCACTCAAATACCCTCTTCCCACTCCATTCCTTATTCCTTCACTTGTCACACATAGTATCTGTCCTCTGAGCTTTACCATCCCCAAATCCTTATCGTCTTTCCCTAGTGTTTCTTCTTGCCCACTTAAACTCATAATCACAACATTAGCATTAACATGACACCCATCACCATCGGGACAATTGCTGAGCACACATATCCTGCCCCCTCCCTTCTTCCATTTACTTGCACTGTTCAGGACAGTGGCAACCATAACACTTTCATGCGATGACTTGGATAACATGGTGCTGCAGTAACTACAATAAAACACACGATTACTAGTGACAGCCTTCTGATTGACTTGACCGTGTCTATCTATAACAGGATTTTTTTGTAGCCCTTTCATTTGCAGGAGTCTGTAGGTACACAAAGGGTCTGGACCAATACCCAATCTCCAAGTAGCCACCCCTTTGTATTGCCAAGGAAGACAAACATATCTTTGAAAGCACGTGGGCAGAAACATAAGCAAAACACCAAGGTGATGATGAATAACACACTCCTGAATGTCAAGGTACAGTGGGATTTTCGTAATATTGTGACATCCCAGCTTCTTTCCCACATTGCAGAAAAGCAAAATAAAATGTAGGTGGAACCAAAGTCCTGTTGTTATTATCATACAAAGAATATGAACTTATTTAAATCCCTCCATCTGTTTTGGTCAACCATTTATGAGTAATTCTCAACATTTCAGTCACCTGAAAAAAAGACAGTGAGTGCTAGGCACAAACACTTCCTAAGCAGTTAATATCCAGGATCACAGATGATTAAATCATGGTGTTTCATTCCTTCTGTGGGCTTTGTTTTGCAACTGGCTTCCTGCCTGCTTTTTGTCTCTAGCATTTCTCTCCTGCTTCTGGCAGATGAAGTGGAGGTGGACAAGTAAAGGGAGGGAAGTTCTTGGTAGCGTAAGGATTACAGTAATTTCCAATCCTTCAGCAAGAAAGAGCTTGCTCAGGGAACAGATAACCTAATGCTCTCCCACCCGACCTTTTTCTTTTTCTAACTTATGTTTACAGTTGCAATTATAATGTTTGCAATTATAAAGTTATACAACCCAGATACAAAGTTCACCACATTTATCTCCATTCTACCCTCAAACCCACATCGAATGTACCTCCCACCCATATATTTCCTCCACTTTTTTTGTTGTTGCTGTGGGTAATATGAAACAAAAAAACTGAAATTAGAGAGATCCTCAGTCATATACCTACAGGTCATTGACATTTGGTTCATACCCAAGCTTGATGTGAAAGTAGATGTCACTCATCAAAAAGACTTATGCCATGGATAACAAATCATCTCAACCCTCTAAATTAAACAACAGTATTAGCACAGGGACAAAGTTACTTTCAAAGCATTCTTGGTATTCTGTCTGATTACCTGTCCTTGTTCAAAACAAAGGGAGAACTGTCTTCACACTGGTCTACTTATGTTCCCTTTCAGTGTTCTGAAATAAGAGCTGTTCAAGTACTTGAGTTTTGTTTTCAGTTGGAAAGGTCATCTGTGGTGCATGGCAAAAGGAATCTGTACACTTTTTTTAATAAGGAAAAAGGGAAAGAGATGGGTTACAGGGAAGGAGGGAAATGAAAGCTTACTGCATCTTCATTTTTGAATTTGCAAAAGTCTAAGATGAGTTATAGAAAAAGTAAAATTAGTAAAAGAGCAACAGTCTAAGAACCTACAGAATCTAATTCTGTTTTCAAAAAGAAAAGCAATGACTACTTACATATAATATGTAGGATATAATCCTTCAAAGTACCAGCAATGCTTTTTGGCCTCCGTACACTACAAAGAAAGAAAAATATGGTATTAATATTTACATAGGATGCTTTACAGTTATAAACACAAGCTTAGAGTATTTATAAATACTGTGACTTGGAGCAGTTAGGAAAGGTTTATATTCCTAAAGATTTCCCAATCCAGATACGCACAGCACATGGGAAGTCAGTTCACGTAAATGGCAGCGTGTCCTGCCAGGATTCAGATCCCTCACACAGGGCTTTGTCTGCGGGGCCCCACCAGCTTCCCACAGTCCCAAACAAAGTCAGTACATTTGGCGCAGACTCAGGATCCAGCTGCATGCGTTCCCTGGCTGAGCTGCCGCCCTAATACCATGGACAACTTAAGAGCCCGTGGTGGTTATAGCCCCTTATGTGACACCCAAGGCACAGGCAATTTGATGATACTACACATATGACTACACAGTAAATTCAACAGTTATAGGGAATTATTAATCTTTCTGGAAGTGTGTAACATGCAGAGCCAGGCTCAGGAAGGAGCATAATGGAGAACCATCTATCCCATCTCCTCTTCCCACAGCTTGGAAATGTCTTAAGTGCTCATTAAAGTAGCAGGGAAAGGAAACTGCTTTCTGAAGCTCAGGGTATTGTTCTCCTTTGCAGATTGCCCATGTATCCCTGCGCAAGGATGGGGACAGGCATTTCCTCAGCATGTGTGTGCCAGAGACGTGAGAAGTGCTCATCCTTAAGGGTGCTGTCAGAGCACAGGCCACAGCTCAGAACAATAGCAGCCCCTAATAAAGAAAACCAGATGTCAAGCTCAAGATCTATACAATGCACAAAATATTTCTGTGTATCCCACTGACATCACTAGCACAAAATGCCAACTTCACTGCAGACACAGTTCCAGCAGCTCCTCTGCAAGCTGTATTATCCCATCACTCGTGGACAGGGCATTGTGGGATGCCCTCTGCAGAGCAGTGAGGAATATCTGGGGTTTTAGCGACAATTCCCTCTGCTGCTCACACCTGACAACAGAGAACCCTTGGCACACTGCCAGAGTTTGGATCATTCTTCATGTTCACTTGGCAGCTCACCTTTAAATAATAGCTCATTTAAGTTTATTAGCCTTCCCAAATCCCAGAATACTAAATGAATCCAGTTAGGACAAAGACAAAGTGGTTTTAGATCCTTGAGTCTCACTCTTCATGAATAAAAAAGGCTGCAAACTCTTTAATGAGTGTCTGATGAGCTAAATCACAGACAGATCAATTACAGCCTATGAAGACAAACTGCTAAGGATTAAATTGTTAAGAGTGGTACAGGAGATTAGAGGATGAGGAGAAGATGCTCTTGATGCATGTGATGAAGCCTTTTTCCAGTAACACAACAGACTCACACCAGTCTTTGAGATGCACAAGCTTTAGCTTATGCCGGAAGGACCAGTCCTCTTTCCCTAGGATAAACACAGCAGAAACCTTGTGCCCCCCACAAACTGATGCCACAGTCCAGGCAGTTCATTCAGGAGGACTCCTTAGCTTCTACTGAAGCAAGCAGTGTTCAAAGATCCATCTCTGCATTTGCCCTATTCCCTCTTTGTACCCCTCCTTCAAAGCTTCCAGCTTTTTAACCCTTCCTTCCAAATATTTTCACCACCTGGCTGTTTCCTTTTACTCTAAAATTAGAAACATGTTAAGTTTCACTCCATAACACCATGCAAACCTACATGCATTGGAAAACCCAGCAGGCATGCTGCCAAGTCACTGAAAAGTATTTTGGCTCTTCACCTTTGAAGGCTGTAGATCAGCAGACGTTGCCTAAATTCCCAGTGTCTGCAGGTCAACCCCCTGGGAAGCCTCATTTCAGAGTACAGCTTGGGGTGGCGCTGCCATTAAACGTTTTTCCTTCCTACTTCTCAGCCAGCATGAGTCACCATTTACCTCAACAGCCTTGAAGCCTTTTGTCAGTCTCAAACATTTTAATTGATGTTTTCCCAGAAATGTTTCTGAGCACATGGAGCCGGCATAGCCTTTGTAAGTGTAAAGCAGGCATTTACATTCAGCACTCTCCCCCCATATTTTAATCTGCTTTACAAGTTCTAAAATTAATTGGGAAGATTCCACCTTCCAACATCCCCCTAACTGTAGGATTTCAGTTTCTGCCTCTATATAATTCTCTTTTTCAGACAGCCAATATGCTTACTGCTGTCACAAGAAAGACTCCAGCCTGTGAAAGTTCCTTCCAGTTTACAGGGCTTAGCTACCTGCTCTAAACATCCTTTGGTGTCCAGATTTAGTTTTAAACTGGCCCTGGAAGAGTAGGAACCAATCCCAGTTCTGCCCTTTTAAAATCTCACAGTGCTATGAATACTGCATGGCAGTTATACAGCTCTCCTACACGGGAATCAGGCAAAAAAAAAATCAAGTAGACCTCAAATGTGAGCAGCACAGCCAAATCTGATCCACATGACATGTCAGACAGATTTACACACACAAGGGCAAACCGCCGAGCTCCCTGCTCAGTTAAACTCCCACCCATCTCCATGGCAACTTTACTCCAGCAAAGCCTGACACAAAGCAGGCAGCTACTAACCAGGCTCTCTACTGCTGGTTAGCAGCTCTGCAGGAATTCGCTGCTGAGAATAGGTTGAGAATGTCACTGCCGATGAGGATCTGAGTGCCTTTAACACTCAGGCACCAGAGAGATGAACGGGGGTCAGGGTACAGATTAGCTTTTCCCACCTCACATACAGCCTCTGAAGAAGGCTATGATAATCTGCCACTTGCTAAGATCCAAATTATTCTACTGAGTGGCACTGGCCTCAAGAGCTAAGCTGGTGGAGAGCCACACAAGAGTAAGAGGAGACATATGCCATTGGCATCAGGCTCTCAGCCTTTGGAGAGCCATGTCCTTGTAGCTGTTTGAGACTATTAAATCCTCAGGAAACCACAGCTGGCAGGAACTCGCTGCAGCCCACAAACCAGATGCAAAGGGAAGATTAGTCATATTGCTGCAATACAACAGGACCTCACACATCAGGATGGGTGCCCACTCTGCCAGCTCCCATATCAAGACAGGCAGGCTGTATCTCAGACTTCCTAACAAGCATGCATTCATGTATTTAAAAAGTCATTTACCCATTCACTAATAGCCAAAACAGTAAGTCTACAGTTTTATAACTAAGATTAGATACAGCCCTACTGATACTTCCAGCTTTTCTAGGGGAAGGACTCTGTACATTTCTCTTATAAAATTCTCTCTTCTATGCCCTTTAAGAATTTGGCACAGTTATAAAATATAAATATGAGAATACATTCAATTTTAAAACAAATTATGCAGGTTTAATTAGGTGTGCATATGTAATCTTTAGAGAATTAATGGTATGTGAATTAGCCAGATGCTTGAATACATTCCTTAAGTTTGCAAAGAAAAGGAGAGAAAGAGAAAAACCACAAGACTTGTTTTTTTGTTCATCTGATTTTAAATAAATCAGCATCTGTCTTGTAGCCTGCTTTCTCTGCAAGACTGTAGCAATGTGAATTTCAAGCTGTCCTTTTCTGCGGCCTCTAAATTATTTCAGATTTCCTTTAAAAAAGGACACCTGCTTCCTGTCGATTGATATTGCAAATGTTACGGCTGCTAGTAAGAACAATGAGAAACAGAAGTTACTAAAACATTATCCAAAGACTGGTTTTGATCACCCCATAAAATACAGAACAAAATACATATGTATGCACATGGTGTGGGAGATGCTAGAGCAGGCAGCCTGCTCACTGAATGTCAGGTGGTATTCCACAGATAGGCTTTCTGCAAATCCTGCAAAGCCTATCTCTAGCAGGAATATCCTCCACATTGCACGTCACTTATCTCTCAGTCCACATGACAATAAAAACAAAATAGATCTGATCAATTAATTACTCTTTGTAATCAAGATATTCACAGCCAGTGCCTTCAGTGGAGCTTTGGAAATTAGTAACAAAAAATTAAAACAAGTAAAGCCCCATATGCATATTCCAGCATGAGTACAGTCCATTTCTGTTATGGGTACCAATGGAAAAAAGCAGCCTGCTGTGGACAGCCATGCCTGTGGAGGGCAGATGGAGGGCAGTTGCTATCTGTATGCTGAAGGGACATCCAGAGTGAATTTGTGACATCTGCTCAAAGCCAGATTCTGTAGGAGGCTGTTATCAGCCACAAGGCTGATGAAAATCTATCAGTTACCAGCAACTGAGGGTGAGCTTTTCTTTTCCATTATGTATTACAGTTATAAGAATCCAAGGTAGATTCAGAGGAACAACAACACATATTTAACAGTGACCTGCCATACTGATATGATTGAAATGGCTCCTGGTATTCTGGGGTGACCTGCTTAGTGGCTGTAACTTCCCACTTAGCTGGGTATATGTTATACATTATTAGGGTTCGAGATGATCCACATACCAGTCCTGTGGCTACAGCCTCTGAGGCTCTGCTCGGATTAATACACAGATGAATAGGAAGAAAGACTAGACGTATCTTTGACAAGTATAATGCTAGAAATATCTTATTTTTTCTGAGCACCACACAATCTTATTCCAACACACAGCCAGAACTCTGTCTTCTATACTGCTGGATCAAACTAAAAACTGAGAAAATGGGAAGGACAACACCCTTCTCATCATATGGCTCCACAGCATCCAAGAAACAACAATGTATACCTGCTGCCTCTCTTACAGAAGGCCATTTGCAAAATTCAGATCTTCTCTGGTTTTATTGGTCACTGCATGTGGCAAACACTTGATGAAGCCCAGACAAAAAGAAGATAATAAAGTCCATGGTGCAACTCCAGACTAAATAAGCAGTTCCAGAAGACACAGTATTGGCTACGAATCACAATGTTTTATGGGATCTGACCTTTAAAACTGCATCAGTTTTCAGAACACTATCTCTTTCAGTGCCTACACAAGAGCTGGAAGCATTATGAGATACAAGCTGGGCTGTATCAGAAGAACTTCTGTGTGCTGAAAGTTTGAAAGACTATATGTGCAGACACAAGAATATGAAGCA